CCCCTGAGCCCCTCACTCTGGCCTGCTAGTTGCTGGCTTACCTTCCTGAGGGGCTGGTCCTTCCTGTTTATTCAGGGCTTCTCACTCATCACCACTGAGAAAGAACCCCAAGGCCAAGTGGTTCTCCCGACCCCCGCCTTTCCCCACTGCACCCACTTGTTATGAGAAAGTTTCCGGAGCTTCCAGTGGTCCCAGACAGCTACAGGGACCAGCTTGGGGACACTCACAGCACAGACAGGCCACACACACCGAGGACAATAGGTAGCCACATTGGTGTGGCTCCCCAGAAGTAAGACTGCTGTCACAAGAATGGCCTCGAAGCAGACGGGTCTTTCCAGCAGGCCCGCCTAGGTCCTGGCCTCTGGTTGTGGGTGGGTGATAAACTTGGTCAGGCCAGAGGGACCCAGGCCCCCAGGCAATGGTCAAGGTGGTTTGGATGCCCTGCTTTGTCCCCATAGGACCCACCATCCCTCTGGTTCCTGTGACTACCACCAAAGCAAGGCTTGCCTCTTGGCCTGCCCGGGCAGGAGGCCAGTCTCTGGTCGCAGCGGTGCATTCCCCCTGTATCTCAGTTCCCTACCCATGTCAGGGGCTGGCCTGTGTGGGCATGCAGGGCACAGCAGCCTGCCCCAGGGACCGCCCTCAGGACTCCTTGGCATCCTGGAGAGCCGCATGTCCAGGGGCTTATAAACACTGGATTCTATTCAAGGCACCAGGTTGGGGGTCCTACTTCAAACTGGTGCAGAGGCTCCCCCCACCCACCTGCCTGAATGTGCACAAACCATCAATCTCATCCAGCGGGATCTGCCCAAAGATCTGCAGGTAGGGCCGGTAGAGCACCCGGCGGAAGATCCACTCCAGGCGGCCGTCATGGGGGTGCAGCAGCGCCTGGGTGGTCACACCGTAGGCCACAAGCCACACACTCAGGAAGAAGAGGAAGAAGAAGACGTCTTTCATCTCCATGGGGCCAGGGGACAGGGAGAGGGTGTTAGCAGCCGCCTGGGTGGGACTCAAAGTGTTTACCACCCACCCCAGGTGGACACAATAGTGGGGAGGGGTCTCACTATGCCCAAGTGGCTGGGGCACCCAGCGGGGCTCACCATTCGCTCCACGATGATGATCTTGGGGCCTAGCTGCTTGTGGATGGCAAAGATGTGGATGAGCCGGAGCGTGAACACCATGAAGTCCATGGCCAGGACGGGGCGGCCAGCCTCGAACATCGAGGGCAGCATCCTGGAGGGCGGCGGGCTGGGTGAGCTGCTGGTGCCCAGAGAGAGGAAGGGGCTTCCCCAAGGGCACAGCACTTTAGCCAAAGAGCAGGTTCCAGGGCTAATCCAGGACTTCCGAGGCCCGGAGTGGCTTCATCCAAAGCCTGCCCACAGTCCTCTCTGAGCCCACAGACCTGCAAGTGACACCAACAATGAACAGGAAGATGGCCACCATGTCACATTTGTTCCAGTTGTCCTCCACGTATAGCGTGAACTTTTTCATCAGGTGTGTGTCTTCGTCTGTGAAGAAACCCTGGCAGGAAGCAACAGTCTATGGACAGCTGCCTGGGCCTAACTGCTGGACACAGCCCCCCTGGAGCAGGCCAGTCTCCTAAAGGATAAGGGCTCCATTTGTCACAGCGACTCAGTCTATGACTAGGAATGGGTGTCAGTTAAAGATATTCCAAGGCTAAGTCTAAGGACAAAACCTTAGGTTGATTTGGATGTGGGGTCAGAGCTCTCTGTGACTAGGGCTGAGGGTCAGTTTATGTTCAGTGTTTAGACTCAGTCTATGAACTGGGTTCAGAACTCAGTCTGGAGCTGGGGTCAGGGCTCAGTCTGGAGCTGGATCAGGGCTCAGTCTGGAGCTGGGATCAGGGCTCAGTCTGGAGCTGGATCAGGGCTCAGTCTGGAGCTGGATCAGGGCTCAGTCTGGAGCTGGATCTGGGCTCAGTCTGGAGCTGGATCAGGGCTCAGTCTGGAGTTGGGAATAGGGTTCAATCTCGACCTAGGATCAGGGCTCAGTCCAGAGCCTGGATCGGGGCTGTCTAGAGCTGGGATCAGGGCTCGATCCAGAGCTGGGATGGGGGCTCAGTCTGGAGCTGGGATCAGGTCCCCCATGATGGTCTTATTCTATAGATGAGTCACAGCCCAGAGAGGGCAGGACCTGCCTGACGCCAGAGCCTAAAGCTACAGAGGAAAGAGGACATGGACTAGTCTCAACACTCACCTGCCGGATTTCCTCCAGCACCAGTGTAAAGACCCAGAAGTAGAGGGTGACCTCAGGCCCTGATGGCCCCTGGGGAGGTGGCCTGAAGTCCACCAACAACACATAGGTGAACAGGAAAAGGAAGGCGAAGTACATGACCACGTTCCCCAGGAACACGGTCACGGGTGCACCCCAGAACTTCCGCCAGCGCGTGAGCAGGAAAGCAGCACGTGGGCCTTGGTCGCCCTGAGCCCTCGGAGCCTCTGCTGGCTCCTCCACCCTGTGCCACGAAGAAGACAGTGATGAGGCAGACACTGGCCGGGCACCCACGGGAGCCTCACCTCTGCTCACCTGAGCCTAGCTTCCTGGCCACAGCCCACTGGAGCCCTCTCTCCTGCCTCCGCAGGCCCCCCCCCCAGCCCCTTACTGGCTTCCTGAGCAGTACAGCAGGCTCTTCCCCGTGTCCAGGCTGTCCAGCTCCTGCAGGTCCTCTGGGCCTGTCCGCAGTGGGGCCTCCTCACTGCGAGCACAGAGAGATACAAGGGCCTGTGGGAAGGGCACTTAGAGGCACCCACTTGTCCAGGAGCACTTGACCAGCCATGAAAGCACTGGCCCACTGAGAAGCACCAAGGCCACAGTGGCCAGCTGGGTAAAGGGGCTGCAGGCAGTGGGCTCTCAGGGATGCAAACCGGGAGAAGAGGCATGCTGCCGCCAGCCCCAGGGAAGCCCAGGGCCTTCCCCAGCACCAGTGCAACTGCCCTGCCCTGCCAGGCGGGCCACCTGCCCTACTCAGTGGACTGCCCCAGGCCTGACCTACCTGAAGGTGATGAGGTTGGTATAGATGAGGGCAGGGCAGATGAAAGCCCCCAGCAGCCGCAGGATAGGTGTGCCTGTGGCCATGTCCCCCCACCAGATCTTGGTCAGGAAGGCCTGAAATGAATGAGCACTGCCCATCTCTCGCCTCTACATGTTAGCCCGCACTGTGCTCCATGCCAGGAAT